GTGGAGGAAGAGGAATGCTCCTGTACATACTACGAGTGTCATTACCCCCCTTGTTCACTCATTGAGAGGAGGGTAAGTAATCAGTGTTACGTTTTTGGAATTGGTCTGAATTGATTTGCTTGAAGGCATGAAGTATTCATACTCCTGGAACTTTTTCATTTTTGTAATATACCAGATTCCCACCACATTAGGGCTGGGTGATTAATCAATGACATTGATATCAAACTTTTTGATTACTTTTTTGAAATATTGGGCTTTTTTTGGTTCACCTGTGTGGGATTTAATCTCAGTTTAAATCCATCTGTCCTCTGAACAAACAGCTTCACGAACGCACAGAAACCTGACAGGAAGATTGATTGATTTTTGCAAAGCCCTTTAGATTTGAATTTAAATTCCCCCAGATTCGTTTTGATTTGACTTTTCAGGGACTGTAAATCCTGTAAGTTCAGTATCACAGGCCAGACTAAAACCTGCAGGTGGAATATTGACCGTCTCACCCCCGTCTCTTCACAGCTGCGGGAGTTCAACATCTGCGGCCGCTGCCAGGTGGCCCGCTATTGCGGCTCCCAGTGTCAGCAGCGGGACTGGCCCGCCCACAAGAAGCAGTGCCGCGAGCGCAAGAGGGTGCTGGCGCTGGAGTCGGAGCCCGAACGGTGATCAGCCCTCACCCTCGACTGTGAGAGAAGGAGGAGGGTCAACGGGGGGCACAGGGATAGATTTGCGGGAGGGTGAGGGGAGGGGACAAACACGAACTCGCTGACAAGAGAATTGATGACAGAAGACAATGTTTGACTGACTGACAGTTCAGGCGCTAAAGACATGGAGGAGGGGGAAGAAGAACACAGCAAAGACATCTGCCACTTCCCAGGACTCACAACTCTCCATAGCTTGCTTTTCATGTCGATTGCAGGGATTTTTTTTATTTTTATTTTTTTTTGTCTCTATAGTTCTCACGGAGGGAGAACATTGAGCTCAACCTGCTGCTATAGTTTTCTAAGTGAGGAGAGGAGGGTGGAAGAGTTGTCTCACCGACAAACTTGACAAGCTCCGTTGGACCACAGTCGAACAGACCGTTCTTGTCATCCACTTTCGTTCCTCCACGCCTGCGCTCACTGCGGAGGGAGGGCGGGACGACGGGGCTACAGGACCCGTCGCTCAGCTGGTACAACGGGACCTGGACCTTCTCACTGTATCGCTCTGTCTCCGACCGCCCTCATGCAACTAAATGGCTGCTGCGTTCATGATCACACCCCAAGCACCTCGTCTCGTCCTCCCCCCCAGCCCCCACCCCCCATGCTGATTTCACCGATTGGATCACACTACCAGTATTGAGTGTATATGTGCGGGCGAATGCAAGCGGGTGTATGTGTGTGTGTACTGCCAATATGTGCTGAAGGACATTAAAAAATGGTGGCTGATTGGTCAGGTTTAATGTATGTCTTTTTTTTTTTGCTCTTAAAGGGGCCATATTACCCAATTTTAAATGTCCTATTTAATCAGAAATTGGTGGTTTGAAAAATATTTTCACTGTTCTATAAAGAAAAAAATAGCTGCCAAAATAAAGGCTTAGTTTTCTACTAGAATTTTTTCCTGTTTATTTTTGCTTTAATTGGTCGGATTAGGCTTATATTTTCTTACTTGTCCCACACAATGCTGGATTTTTTGCATTATTTATCTGATCTATTCCTGCTGTTGAAAATTCGATGTTACTCAAACTGCCCCTTCCAAACAACCCCGTTTAAATAAAAGCACCGCTGGCAGCAGAATCAGACTAATCATGTTCTCACAAGTCACAGGAAGTATCTTGACCAAAGTCTGCTCTTGGTTTCTGTAGCTTTTTGCTCCTAACTGGTTAAAATCCTTCCAGTACGTCTCTGTTTGCTTCCAGTCGGGTTCTTTCACAGGTTTATGGTTTGTATGCATTAATTGGAGAGGGTGCTGCTCTGTCGTATTTTTATTTTTTTTTGTTTGTTTGTTTGTTTCTTTTTGAAGAAAATCTATAGAGATATATTTATTTAATGACTTGATTGTGAAATGTGTTCATATTTTGAAGAAACGGGACCTTTCCTAGCTGATTGCGTTTGGGTTGAGTTGAAAATTTCTCCCTTCTACTGGATTTTTGTGCTTTCGTGATACCCAAGTGAGTCAGTCCTCAGTGTTGCCCTTCCATTTTTATTTTTTTATTTTTCTCGGTGAATACACTGCACACTGTCTATGTCACTAAAATCTTCCATAAAAGGGGATGTCTTGTGGAGAGGGAAAACTTGAATTTCCTGCTACAGAAAAGTTTGGAGACTGGTTGCTCTCAACGTCTGCCTTTGTTTCCCACAAAACAAAAAGTGAACTGGTGGACTTTATTCTCCAATCACCTGCCTTCCTTGTATTTCCCGCGATGCACACCTATTACATGTGTCCTCTTGTGTCTTAGACGAGGAGTACGAACACTTGAGCATGTGTTTTTGTTCATGTACATGCAAGTTTTCTTTTGGTTTTTTTATTATTTTGTGTCTGAATCTGAACAGGTTTTCAATACTGCACTAAAACTTGGTTCCTGCTGTTTGCGTTCATTTCATTAATGGACAAAAAGGAGGGATGTAATTTTTTTTTGCCCCTTTACCCCCAGAGTGTACAGATAGCGTCAAAAATTTTGTTTTTCTAAAAAAAAACCATTTAAGCATTAATCACCTAGAAATAAAGAGCTACACTATGTGAAAGGAAGTAGAGTTGGAGATAATTGCCAGTTGCTTTTCCATTGTAAAATGATAATAAAGGTTAAATGAACCTCGGTTGCTGCTGTTGGCTCAGTTTTAATAGGGACGTGTCTCAAGCAGGTTGTTGGCTCTGGTGTAAACGAACGCTGAGGCTGGAGCTTGTTTTTAAAAATTCTTGGATATCAAAATGGTTCCACTTGTCAGTTCAATCCGAAACAATAGGAAAGACTGGAAGCCTTTCCTATTGTTTCCCACAGAAAAATGTGAGCTTTGATTAAAAATAATACAAAATCCTCTTTCAGAGTAAACAGATTGTGTAGTATTCAACCAATATAGCATTAATATTAAGATTTTCAGCTTTATTTTACTGTAACCAGATGTTCAGTGAAATAAATATATAAAAATATTCTGTGCCTCGCTCCTTATAGGTTGTGATAAGGTTGTTCACAAACCGTGAATTGGGATTTTAAGTGACACATCGGCATAAACAGTGCATATATTGGTAAAATATATAAATATTTAAATCCTGAATAAAATCAAGGAAAACCATTGGTCAGAAGTTACTGAATTGGTAAATAGGACACATTTCAGTTCGTGCTAAGTATCCAGGTGTCCTGTGAAGGCGACAGTGGTTTGTTGGAGAACACTGATGAACAAATGCATGAGGGCCAAACAACACAAAAATTGCAATCAAAAATAAAGTCAGAAGAAATCCTGTTATAATGTCAGAGACATGGGGAAGGAGGCGCTCTGGAGATATGAAAAAATACAAGCATCGCAGTTCATTTTTCTGAGTTCCTGTCTAAAATTTGTTGTGAACAAAACAACCCAAAAAAAATTTCGTGTTTCACATGAACATCTTATTTTCTTAACACTACTTGAGTTAACGTGTTCAATCAGTCCTGTACCATTTCTCACACACAGATCAGCTTTAACTCAGCCTGTATGAATCCAACTTAAACCTTTGAGTTTGTCACCATGTTGAGTGAAACAAGGCTCCTTTGTTAAGCAAGCTCTCATCCCTGAAGTTTTTCCTCTTTTCTCTGTGTAACCAGTAACAGATGTGCAGCTGCTTTCTGTGGCTCTTTGGTAACTTTATCTTCCATGTTGTTACTTGTGCTCAGCAGTAGTTGAATTTTCTCCATCTGCTTCCTCTGCTCACGTTCCCCCGCTATTTCCAGGAGAATACTTAGGTTGTTTCAGGCCGCGGTGCTAAGTCAGAGGTCAGAAGGGAGGTCAAAGGTGCTATCGTTGAAGCATGGCATCCTGAAATTAACACTATAGTGTGTATTGATTCTTTTTTTTTTTTTGGGAAAGATATTTAAATAAATTGTTACATTCATTAGAATACTTTTAATGATTAAGCTACTGGCAAAAATAGATCAATCTTTCAGATCAGATCAATGGTTAGACTGATTGAAAACCCAAGATATTATAACTTACTGCATGTTGACATAAGAGCTTACAGATTTTCTAGAAATGTAAAAGGTAAAGGTGATCTTATTTATATAGCACATTTTCAGCAACAAGGCAATACAAAGTGCTTAACTTAAAATACGAATAAATAAATAAAATAGAAAGGGCTACTTTGTGCTGGTGTGTCACAAAAAAATGTAATGATGTACATTGAATCAACTAAGTTTATTTGCACAGCACTTTTCAGCAACCAGGCAGTTTGAAGTGCTTCATGACAACATAAAAACATTACAAACACGTCTAGCAGACGTGACATTTTGTCAAGTGCCATCTTTGAAATCATCAGCACACATTATATGGTCAGTGCTCAGTTATTGATGCGTGTGGATGTAATGGGATAAAAATGTAAGGACATTTAAGAGTCATGAGCATTGTTACAATATTCTTCTTCTTAAATTCAAGGAACTATGACAGTGTTCCTTGAGTTGAAGGCCCAGAAACACTGCAGAGCAATTATTAAGTTTTAATAATAATTGCCGAGCAATTATTAAGTTTTAATAATAATTGCAGAGCAATTATTAAGTTTTAATAATAATTGCAAAGCAATTATTAAGTTTTGATCCTTTAAAACAACATCTATGAAGAATCAACGGCTGACTCTAAACATTTGCACATGAATAAATAAATGTAAATGTCTTTTTCGTTTCTTAATCCCTTAACACAATAATGGAACTATTACAATAATAAACAAATATTTATTTCGATCCGTCCTGCGTTTCATTGTAGAGAAGCAATGTATTGCAGCACTTCCCGGCCGTTAGGGGTCGCTGTTGTTTAATTCACGCCCCTCTTTTTCTTCTCTTCTTCGTTTTTCAACGCGGAAGTTTCATAACAGGGGAGCTGTGTGTTGACATAAGTTGCGTTTGAATCTAATCCTCAAAGCAGAAGCCTGTAATTTCAACCTACTCGTCAACATGGTGAACCTCGGTGTGACGAAGGTGGACGACGCGATAGCAGCAAAACATCCCGTGAGAATTACTGTTTGTTTTTGTCTGACGTTGCAGATCTCTGGAGGACATTTGACTTTTGTCGTGAATATAAAATCATTCTAGATTTTTAGAGACGGTTTTATTTAATGCATAAGTGAATGACACAGTGTAAAATCATATATTGTGTCTTGTTTTGTTTGTCTTTCAGGGGCTGCAGAGCTACGCTGCGTGTCAGTCTCACGCCTTTATGAAGGGGACAGGAACCTTTGTACTGGGTAATGTTTTAATTACAATGTGCTCCTTAAATCAACATACAAATAATATCAATTCAACAGTGTCTTACGTGCAATAGAGTCACGTGTTTAAATTTTTTGTTTCCTGTATTATTAAATGGATTACAGCTTTCTTGTGCCAATTTAATACCTGTGTGAAAGTAAACTAGAGTTAAAAGCATTTTTAACCACAGGAGGGAGCTGTAATCTTTGACTATCTGGTACAGACTCTGGAAAATATTTAGTCACCTCTTAGTTGCTTTTTGTCAGTAAAGCAAATGAATGTGTTAGCCTGTTGTTTCAATTTTCAGATGAAACGTTTTGGATTATTTTTAGAGGTCAAATTGTGAAGTATAGGATCACTTTGTTTGTTTATCCAGTTCTAAACTGTAGTTTGAATGCGTATATATCTGCAAGTACAAATGACAGAGTTACTTCTAATAAGAGTGGAAAAGGAACATTTATGATGGAAAACAATTTTCCTTTCTTGTAACTTTGTTGCTTAAAACCTATTGGTGTATCTGTCTATTTGTTCATCCTTTATTTCCTTTCCTTTTCACCTATAGTTTCCTTAGATTTAAAGCTTGCCCATTGTATGAATAGCCCAAATAAATTCATAAGGAACTCCTCTGTCTGTAATTTGGAAATTAGCTACTTTACCCCCAAAATTACTTCTAACATTTTGTTGTTATTGTGCAATATTTTAAAAACCTTTCAGTGAACAACAGAGCAAAAGCAACAGTATGTATTTAAATTTAAATTGCCTTTGAGTTTCCAGTATTTAAGTTTTCATTCCCTTTCTTGCTTGTCTGACTGTGGCGCCTTCTGTGATGCTGTTCCAGGTGTCACAGGGTTTTTTGCCATCCAGAAGGCTCTGCAGATGAGACTCCCCTACCCACTACAGTGGAATCTGCTCATATCAATAAGTGATGAGTTATACTTCTTAAATACTCATGTTAGACAGACTGGAAAGATATTTGCTCCAATTTCTGACTGCCTTATTTGAAACCTCCTCTGTCAGTGGCGTCATCGTTTTGTAGTTATGCAGTAACTCGCTGGGAAACACAGAAATGCTCAGACCTTTGGCTGCTGCTAGAGACGGGTAAAGTCCCAGACAGATCACCGCCACCACCAACAGGTAGGACTAATGGAAATCCCCGTTGATATTGTTTAAATATGGATGAAAACGTATTTTTAAGGTTTTTAGTTCTTCAATTCCTATGAATCAAGTCTGCAGAGATGGATGTTTATGCTTACCTTTCTTTGTGTTGGTCTTCCAGTATCTCATCCAGAGGATTCAAAAGCTGCTCAGAAGACAAAATATGGAGACGACATGGAATAAACACACGTCATAGGTGAAAAGAGCCTTTCACCTCTGACACCTCTTTGTCAGGAAAAATATGTATAAAGACTGAGGAAAAAACATACATTTTGTATTTATTTTAAGTGTTTTTCATCTTACATACTCATGTGCCTCAAGAAAGTAATTGTATTGTTTGGTTTCAGACTTCATGGAGTCTTTGAATTTCATAACGGCATTAAAGTAGATTGAACAGAACTGAATTCGCTAAATTGCAGGTCAGGGATTAATTTGGATCTTTAGCAGAAATCTGATGTTAAGCTTCTTGATCTCGTATTATTCTGTGGACATGTTGGTTTGTCATGCAACAGAATTAAACCTTCCACCAGCCACTGGTTGTTTCTCTGCATGTATTATGGGATGTATCAAGCTGTTTGTTGGTACCCTTGTTTGCTCTGGGGATTTAAACCAGCCAATGATCGGATTTTGCTTCTAAGGACATGAATGTTAGTAAAAGCTGAAATCCAACAATCGAAAGCGGCTTGCTGCTGTCTCTTGTGTCCACTAGAAATCTATTGACCTGCCATCAATCCACAAAAGCTTAAATAAACTCATCATGTCTCAAAGAAACATTGACTTTATTTGTGTTCAACTGTTCTGCAGAATTATAGAAGAGTATTTGTTTCAATTGTTTTTATTTATACTGTCAATATCACGATAACAAACTCAAGAGACTGAAAAATAAACTTCTCTATTTACTTGATGCACAACACAACAACTTACCTAGTTAATGATTCAGTCACTGTAGACTCTGTACAGTTTGGAAAATAAACTAATGTAGTTCTGTTTACTGTTAATCCAAAGACTTATTGAACAGTTCATTTATTTCATTAATTGAAACCCACTAAATAAAATAACTGCAGGCAGTTGTTTATTTCTGATAATTATGACAATTTCCCAGAAATAGCTATAAGAACATAACTTTTGAGATTAGAATATTACATTACACTAATAAAAACATTTCTAGTACAGAAATGTGAGCTCAATAAACAGACACGCAGTTTCCTACTTGATCTTGTAAGCGCTACAATAACTTTCATCCAAACCAATTCACACACTGCTAAATGCAGGGGTACAGTATATGAATCAATAAAAGTATTCTAACGCTGAAGACACTCAATGAGGTTTACAGACACAAGTAACGTGTTTATCAATGTGAATCTTCAGAGAAGAAGTAAAACATTTTATCCGGAATCACAGCAGTCAACCTGCAAAAACTTAACATAGTGAGTCATCCTGTTCTCTGCCCTTTTTGACAAGTACGCCTACAGTTGTGTGTTTTTAATCGGAAAAATGGAGGTGGATAAAGGTGGAATTAAACCAGCTTGAATTTGTAACAGAATCACTTTTCAATGTGTAGCTTTTATAAAAAGATTACATAAAACTGACTTATGTCCAGCCAGGAGGCTTTCAAGGTACCATGCTAAATACTAGGATGAAAGTTGCGCAAAAAGGGGATAAAGACCTGAAGTTTAAACAATGTGTGCATGAATCAATGCATGTCACCCTCTTTCACATATCCAATATCAATATAGATTAAAAGCTAATTAAAAACACAGGTTAAGGATGAATATTATCAACTTATTGCAACATCTTTCAAACAGAAAAATTCTGGAAATTCAAATTAAAAACACGAACGGCAGAGATTTTTGTCTCATTTCTGCAATCTATAAACGAGTGATCCAGAAGATTACATGTATGTAGATATGTGGACATGTAGGTTTTTTATTGATTATGTAATACACGAATATAACTGTCATGCCAAAAATGACAGAACATCTAGCCTTATTCAATGTCCCAAACTTGGCTCACATCACAGGTGAATGCAAGCCACAGTCCAAGCCACTCGAAGTAAAAACATAAAGTGCTGACAATGTACCAGTGACGCAGAAAGACAATAGGAGCAATTCTGAAAATCAGTCTATTTTAAGAAGGCTTTAGCATTGATTTATTATTCCCTTCTTTCCTCCTCACATCTTTTTCAAGCCTGAATCATCTCCCCCACCCTGTTCCTCACCCACTCACTGCAATTCAAAAATCTGATTCAGCTCCTCTTGAATACGTTTAAGCCTCTTCTTTGTATTTCCCAACACAGGCTCCATGAACTGAATAAGCCTAGCCATGTATGCACTGATACTGCCATATATCCAGGCACTCACCCTGTTCAGCAGGGTGGATGTTAAGTTACTTACTGATAGAGGAAACACGGTTGCTGGTTTTGCTTTAAAAAAAAAAAAAATTCACTAAACCACTGGTAGAGAGAGAAAACGAACCAAAATCCGGTCTGACAGGATGACTAACGGAAAGGTTTGAATTTTGCAATAGTTATGACAGATCCTTTGTGACAACCTGATGGCGTGTTTAGGATTAATCACCAGTGCAGTCTATGCAGCTGACGACAGGAGGGGAGTTCATGCCTAGGCAGGTCAGAGTTACTGTGCAGAAAGCCAGTTCCTTCGTTTGGTTCATTATAGCTCTGTATCAACTGCCTACAGGGGATCTGAACACTTTAAATGTAAATGTTTGTGGTCAATAAGCGTCCACAAAGTGAGCAACACGGCTCACTGCTCAGGGCGAGATTTCTTTGGGGGCAGCACAAGAGCTCAGACAGAAATGAGTTAAGTCTTTTGAGCCCCAACATTAATTATTGCATCAAATTACTAAAGTAACAATACACAAATTGGACAGTGGTTGAGACTAATTGGTTTTGTTTTGACTATTGACTAACAGTATGTTGGGATGGAACCCTACCACTTCAAAATGAACCTCAAAGTTACTCCACAGATTTCTAACCTTGGAATTGTTGACAGATTTACTTCAAATAAGGCGAGAAGGTCAATTTTAAGATGGAAAATAAAAAAAGTAATATTGTTCCAATAATAATATTCTTTTGCTGTTTTAAATTGTAACTTTAATAACTATAACTGCTCTTGATGTGAAGTGTTGGGTGTGAAAATAGAAAGTTCCTATGCAGTAGATGACGTCCTCTTTTACCAGAGGATGATATTGAGTTGCCACACTAGACGCTTTTCCATTTCCAATCCAAATCATTGTGTCCTAAAAAGATCGTTGCAGTGTACTCCTGAAGGACTTTGATTCTCATGTGGAAATACAAATACGATGTGCGAAGAGATTGAGATGAAGTTTCAAAATGTTTGAAAGCTGGTTTCAGATTTTGTTTTTTTTTTCGCTTTAAATCCAGACACAAATCATCAGTTCGTTTCTTGTTTATTGTCAGAATGCAGCAGAGAAAAGAGAAAGAATTTGAAAAAAACAAATCACCAAAAACAGCTTTTGAAGTCACAACCAACATCTGGATTCAATTCTGGCAGGTAACGGGTGATCTTCTGATTGAGTTTGATCACAGGAAACATAAACCTGTAATATTCTAGAGGACGTATTTTGTCCTGCAGCTTTACTGAGCAGGACGCATCATGAAGCTGATGGCCTTCAGGGAGTAGTTATGGCCCTTCCAGGTGTACCAATCCACTCCAACAGAATTGATGGTGCTGTCAGCCCCCCAGCGATAAACCCCGTTTGGGTTTGTGCGATGACAGTTGTTATACCAGAAACCCCCAAGGAATAACTTGGCACAGTTTAAAAGATAACTGTCCATGTCCATGTCGAAGGTGGAGAACTTGTGTCCGCTGTGATAAGTAAGGGAATCTCCTGCAAACAAAAATCAAGAGGAAATGTTTGAGAAGTTCTCAGAGTAAATGAGATAAATCATACTGAAGCTCACAAATATCAACTAAAGGATTTATCACAATGAGAAATCTCAGAGGTTAAACACATCCTTGTATTAAGTCACATAGTTCAGTTCTTTGTGTTTCTTTCTTAGGCTTGTTGACACCGAGTTAAGTGACCAGGACAAAACTCTCAGTCGGGTTTCAGAGATCAATATATCACCATTTGTTCCTTTATTCATTTTAATAACAAGAGTTCCTCCAGCATAATGCTAAACATTGCTTTAATAAAGTCAGAGGAAATAGTTTTGTTTTAAAGCAGCATTGCTGCCCCTGGTGCTCACCTGCCCCTCCATCAATGAATCCAGACACATGGAGAGGATACCCCAAAGACTCCGGGCCAACACTGAACCGGCGGTAACGAGCGTAAACTGTCTGTCCTTCGAAATTCTCCATGATAACCAGCAGCTCCATCTTTTTCTTGTGACTTAAGAGGAAAATGTTGCCCAGACCTGACAACAGAAACACGCAGTCTTTCAGGAGGCTTGTTGGTTCTCTCTGATCTCCATGATAGTTTTAGCTTCATATCTTACCGAGCCAGTACTCTCCAGCCACGTTCCCAAAGCCCAACTTGTAATAAGCCCAGGGCCTGTAGAAGTTCACCGAGCCATCCATCCTCCTCTGGAGCACCTGTGGGGAGAATGAGGCGTTCAACCAGCTGAACACAACAAGAATCAGAAGTTTAACTGAGATTGACTGGTGGTGGCAAAGCAGCCGGGGGTTAGAGCCATCAGTCTAAGTATGAGGTGAAAGTGATGCGTTACTCACAGTCCACTGGCCTCCCAAAGAGCTCATGTCACAGAAAACCTGCAAAAAAAGGAGGAAGTGATGAATGTACGCTGTTCGATTCACTAGTGACTCCATCAGGCAGAAATCAGTTTAAACCTGCAGCTCGCGTCCTGTAGCTGGAATTATTTTTAAAAAATTTTACAGCAACATCGTTACAGATTTTTCCATATTTCATGAAACAAAGCAATGTGTGTCAATCGAAATGAGTTTTTGGGGTCTGATTCAACACCAGCAATTTCAATGAGGGCTAACAGAACAAATTAATTACACAAAGATCTGTATTTTTTACATAAACACAAAACATACAATTGTTGTACATGTTTTACTTTCAGTCTTATTCTTAAGGAAGTTATTTTTACAGAATAACTGTAAAACTGTCAAATACACTCCTTTCATCCATATTCATATCCCGCAGAAAATGTGCTCAGTTTTCCTCCAAAATCATCTTATTTCCCCCGAAACGATCCTCCTTCAGCTAATTATGTCTATCAACTGAGGTTTTCTCTTGCTTTTCAATGAGAGTGATCAGCCAGCAGATGTTTGAAGAGACCTTATTTCTCCCCAATAATTCAAATAATAAAATTCTTAAAATGAAAAGGTTAAGAAGAAAAAATTACTTTATCACAGGCATAAAGCTTTTTTTTTTTCAATTATCTCCTCGTACTGTTGCCAAATTTGCCAAAATATCCAAATGCAATAAGAAGATGCTCCCTTTTCTCTTTCTTCAACACGTGGAATACACCTTCCTCACATTTTCAGGAGTCATAAAGTTTCTCATTTTTCTGGCGGTTGGTGAGAAAAAAAAAAAAGAATAAATTAAACATGTCACTTGATTTCAAGCGCACCTGAAGACCAGAAAGGGGTCCGAGGGGATAGATGGTGTAAACTCCGCTGGGTCGCGTTGTGTCCTGCTTATAGATGTCGCTGCAGTCGAAAGGAAGGAGAAAAGCTGCACAGCTGCTCAGCAGAGGAACCAGGAGGAGCAGGAGCGCGGACAGCAGCTGCATAAGCAGAGATCACATCTCAGTTTCACAG